AAAACCCTTGCTAACAACAGACATTCCAGCTTTCAGACATGATTTCACCTTTCTAATATATTAATGGAGAGGTTAGATTATTATTTCTACTGGTAGTAAGGATGAAATGTATAGCCAGTTCAGAGGCCATACTTCAGATGCCATACCCCTTACTTTTGGGTACATAACAGTTTACTCCAAGTAGCATCTCATTTCAGCACAAAGAGCTTTGAAAACAATGATATGCCATAAGAGAAACTTAGTGATGATTTGTTGATAACTGTTTTGTTCTTAGAAAAGTACTTCAGTGTATTTTCCCGTTTCATGCTTATTTCTGTTTCAAACACTGTAAAGAGGAAACAGAAGCTACTACAATAGCAGATAATCTCATGATTTTCAGAGAAAAGCTCTATAACTTCTTTTTTACCACTGGTGTTTTGAAATAAAAAGCTTCTTTTGTATTTACATATTTACAACACAGACATAACCATGATTTGGTGGACGAGCACTAGAAGTAAAGTAAGAGGACCTGGGGAAAATCCTGCAGCTTGCATATTTTTGACCTCTCCTTTCAGAATTATGACATAAATGAGCTCAGTGATGTATGTGGAAGTGCTTGGTACAAGGCCAGGTGCAGCGGCTCACGCCTGTAATCCCATCGCTTTGGGAGGCCGAGGTGGGTGGGTCACTTGAGCCTAGCAGCTCCAGAAGAGCCTGGGCAACATGGCAAAACCCTATCTCTACAAAAATTACAAATAAATTTAGCTGGGTGTGGGGATGTGCGCCTCTAGTTTCATCTACTCAGGAGGCTGAAGTGGGAGGATCACCTGAGCCCAGGAGGCCAAGCCTGCAGTGAGATTTGATTGTGCCACTGCCCTCTAACCTGAGTGATGGAGTGAGACCCTGTCTCCAAAAAAAAAAAAAAAAAAAAAGCAACTAATATAATGCTTAGATTTAGCATTTATGAATAAATGTAATTCTTATATAACTGACAATAAAAATGGTAGAAAAATAAAATAGTTACAGAATATTCTCAGGAAAAAAAAGGAACTTAAGGAACATTGGGAAATTTCCTCCGTCTGTTGTGGAAATTCAAGCCAAGAGGAAGAGAGAGACCAAGAGACACAAGAGAACCTCTTTATTGGAGCTCCAGCTGACAGTGGCCTTACTGCCTGTAATGGCTGCCAGCCCCGCACAAAGGAAAATTCCTTGCTTGTATTAGTTTTGGCATGGGAAGATAAGGCAGGAGAAAAAGTGGTTTAAACAGAGTTAGTCATTGACTTGTGACAAGTTTACAACCTTGAGAATATGTATATTTTCTATGCGGTTATCTCGCTCCCATGGCTGTCTCACTCCCGCGGCTGGTAGCTGGGGAAGAGAGCAGGTTTTTTGTTTTTTGTTTTGCAGAAATATGCTTGTGAGCTGTGGGTGCACAGATATGCTCGGGTGCCTTATCTTGGAAGGAGGAGGCTATGCTGGGTCTCCTTTAGCTAACTTCAGGCAATTTAGGCTGGGAGGGGTGGTTTACTTGCTCCTCTGCTCTTTATAACTATTTTTGTGGCCTAGTCTTAAGCTTATTATTTATTTTAAATTAATGTCTTTTTATACATTTCACTTTTCCTCCTCATGTCCAGATACATGCAAAACTATAGCTTTTACTATGGTGTGGTGTATAGGTTAGATGTCAGAGTGTAAAGCCAATTTTTTTTTTTTTTTTTTTTTTTTTAAAAGAATTTTTTTTTTTTTCCCGCAGGGGGGGGAGTGGGGCAATATTGGGTCACTCTAATCTCTGTCTCCTAGGTTCAAGTGATTCTCCTGCCTCAGCCTCCTGAGTAGCTGGGATTACAGGTACCCACCACCATGCCCAGCTAATTTTTGTATTATTAGTAGAGACGGGGTTTCACCATGTTGTCCAGACTGGTCTTGAACTCCTGACCTCATGATCCACCGCCTTCACCTCCCAAAGTGCTGGGATTACAGGCATGAGCCATTGCACCCAGCCATAAAGCCCATTTTTTTAATGTAGCCAAATTTATTAATCTTTTATTTTATGCCTTTGAATTGGTTGTAATTTGGAGGTCTTTTCCAATTCTGAGATGCTTAAAATTCTCTAGTCATTTATATTTTACATTCATGAATTCACTGTCTTCAGGCAAACTTATAAAGTTTTAGGAATTTAAGCTCTATGAGGTTTGAAGTTTCAATCCAATATTTTTTTCCAGATGAATATCCACTTATGGAAGTCTTTTCATTGTATACATGTACAGGTTATTTGATTTCAGAGGAAGTCACGATATGTCATTTTACTGAGTGCTACTAAATGTTTCCTTTCTTACTTAGATTTCTCATACGCATAAGAAAGAAAAGGATCTCTTGTATGAAAATTGCATGTTGCAGGAAGAAATTGCCTTGCTGAGACTGGAAATAGATACAATAACAAATCAGAATCAGCAAAAGGAGAAGAAATATTTTGAGGACATTGAAGTTGTGAAAGAAAATAATGATAACCTTCAAAAAATTATTAAACTAAATGAGGAAACATTAACAAAAACAATAGTTCAGTACAGTGGACAACTGAACGATTTGGCAGCTGAGAACAAAATACTCAATTCTGAACTGGAGAATGAAAAACAAAACCAAGAAAGACTGGAAATAGAAATGGAATCATACCATTGTAGACTGGCTGCTGCCCTTCGTGATTGTGATCAAAGTCAGACACAAAGAGACCTAAACCTTCATTTCCAGAGAATAAGACAAGAGTGGATTGATTTACAGGACAAAATGAAGGCTGATATGTCTGACCACCTACAAGCTACGAATGAGATTCTTTCTGAAAAACTTTCTAATGTTGAAAATAAAATCAACAGCCTACAGATTCAGCTCCATAACACAACAGATGCTGTTGAAGAAAAGAATTTGACTTTGGAAGGTGTGCGAAGAGACCTCAGCCAAACACAGTGTCAGAAGAAAGAAATTGAACAAATGTACCAAACTGAACAAAGCAAACTGAAGAAATCCATTGCAAAGCAGGAATCTGTAGAGGAGAGATTATTTCAACTACAAAATGAAAATACATTGCTTCGACAGCAACTGGATGATGCTCACAAGAAAGTGAACAGACAAGAAAAGACAATCAGTACTCTCCATGACCAGTTTCAGGCTGTTGCCAGAAATCTTCGAGCTGAGAGTGAAAAGCAGAGTCTTCCACTACAAGAGAAGAGCAAGGAATTGCTGGATAAATGTAATTATTTTAAAAAAAGCATGGATCAATGTGAGAAAGAGAAACCAGGAAGAAAAGTAAGTGTTAAGAAAGATAAATATTTTTCAACCTTCCTAAAAGAAAATTTAAAGTAATATTTGATTATGGCTAAATGTTTTATCTAGCTGAATATAAAAATATACAGATCATAAATGTATTTGCTGTTAAAACTGAAAGATACTTTACTTTGAGTAAAGAAATTAGGTCACCTATGAAATTTTAAGCTCAGTTACAGTGTTAACAGGTACAGATTAACATTCATAATGTAGTCTTATGCTGCTGAAATGATCATGGCAATGCCTTTATATGGCCATGTTTGAAGACCATGATGAAGCAGATAAACAGAAATGCTTATACCTGACATGAGTATTTTGAAATTAAGATTTAGTTAGGAGGGTTACTTTGACCATTAATTCCAGATTTTCCAGGTGAACTGAAGTATACTGCTATACTTCAGTGTATATTTCCACAATACTTTTCCTTCAGTAGTTTTGTAATGCATTTAAGTTGGTATAATTTTATTTTTATTCATATCAATTTGACTTAAATCTGAGATGATTTCAGTCTCAAATTACTTGTTATGACCTCTCAATTCTTTAAAGGCATTTACTTTTTCATAAATCATAATTTGGGGCAGATGTGAATTTCAGCAAAGCTATGTTAGATTTAATCTTACCACTGGTATTTATAATTTACTTTGAATGTTTTTATAAACAATTTGCTCATAATTTTCATTTCAAGGCTCACTGCCTGTCATTTGGATATAACTTTGACCAGTACAAAGGTAACTGGGTTTATCCGTGATTTATTTGTTTGGCATTGAGTCCCCATTTTTAAACTAATGAGAGGTGGCAGGATTCCCATATAGCGAGAATGAACTGAGTAGGGGAGACCCTTGTAGAAGCTGAGGTCAGGAGGGAGGTAAAGGCCAGGTTACCCAGGGCCTCAAAGGCCATTGGAATTTTACTTGTATTCTGAGATAGGAATCTTTTGGAAGGATCTGAGCAGGCAGCTGAATATGCAAGGAACTCTGAAGTTGATTGGAGCTTCTAATAAAAAAGAGGGAAAACATGTCACAGTGTGGGATGTACCACCAGCAGCCCCAACCACATACGGATTTCTTTTTGAGACTTCAGTAGGATGTTAAGCATTGCAGATGTTTCAGGGATGAGTGAACAGTGGGCTGAATCTATCGTCTAAGTTAACAGAAAACTGATTTGGCAGAAAGATAGCACCTTCTGTGTCCTTAACTGAATTCAGTAATAAACAAGAATGTGTGCACATGAGGAAAAGGTGCATCCATATATGTGTTGATGTTTTTCAAAGTGTATATGTTAGAGTTAAATCTTATTACCATAATTTAATAATAAGGTGATTTATAAAATCAGTAGCAAAAATACTTTCACAGGTAGTTATGAGACAACTCCAACTAGAATGGACTGATCCCCTAAAACAACAACCAACAGCAGAGGCTGCATCATTTAATTTAGATGAGACACAGGATTCAAAGAAGAAATCGGGTCAAATCAGCAGTGAAGTATGTATGAAACCTAACATGTCTACAGTTAATCTATAGGTGGTGAAATAGTGTCAAATGTTTTAGGATACTAACTGAAGTGGATAGCTTTCTTTTGTATTTTTATCATAATTTGTTTTATAATTTTATTATCTTTATAATGCACTTGTTTCTTAATCTCTGGCTTTCATTCTCTCCTTTTCTCCTGATAAGTACATACATTTTTAAAATAAGGATCATTTCCAAAGATCCTTAGGAAAGTTGGGAATTATTAGTATTCCTCACAGAAGTTGAGAGGCTTTTTTTTTTTTCTGTGAAGTATTTTTTAGTGATTTCTCTATTGCCATGGTTAGGCAAGCCAGATTAAATCATAGGATAATGTTTAACAGAATGTTTCAGAAATTGTCTTATTTCTTATCTTTACTTTTGTGAATGGGTACAGAATCTGTGTATATTTATTTCATGAATTTCAGGATAACTTGTACAGAAAGGCCACAGTACTGTTCTCCAAAATGCAAATATTTTAATTTAAAAACTATTTGAAATGTTAGGCACTTCCTTCATTTTCCTTTCATTTTAAATATATTGTGCTTTTTTACAAATCACCTATAGTATGTACATCCAAAGTAGAGAATTCAGAGATGTATCTAGATCCTACCACTGAATTTTTTAAAAAAACTTTACTGAGACAAAATTCTTATACCACACAGTTTACCCATTGAACGTGTACAAATTCATAGTCTCTTAGTATAGTCACAGAGTTGCATAACCATCGCCATCATCAATTGTAGGACACTTTCATGACCCTGAAAAGAACCAGCAATCTATTTTGTTTCCATAGATTAGCCCATTCTGGGCACCGCATATCAACTGGATCACACCATATGTGGTGGTCTTTTGCGACTGGCTTCGTCTACTTAGCGTAACATTTTAAAGGTTCGTTGTGTTGTAACGTGTATCAGTACTTAATTTCATCTTTCTGCTGAGTATTGTTCCACTGTATGGACATGCCACTCATTTTATTTAGCCATTTATCAGTTGATGGACCTTTGGGTTGTTGCCATGTTTTGGCTATTAATCATGCTGCTGTGAACTTTTCTGTACAAGTTTTTGTGTTTGCGTATGTGTTCTTCTCTTGGGTATATACTTAGGAGTTGAATTTCTGGGTCATACAGTAACTCTATGCTTAAGCTTTTGAGGAGCTGACAGTCTGCTTTTCAAAGTGGTTGCGCCATTTTACATTCTCATCAGCATTGTATGAGGGTTCTAACTTCTCCACATCTTTGCCAACATTTTTCATATTTTTGATTGAAAAAGGATTCCAACCCAGAGGTATAAAGTGGTATCATGTCATTGTGGTTCTGATTCACATTTCCCTATTGATGAATGACTTTAAGCCTTTTTTTATGTGCTTATGAGCCATTTGTATACCTTCTTTGGGAAATGTCTATTCAAATCATTTGCCCACTCTAAAATTGGGTTATCTTAAATTTCTGAATTTTAAGAGCTCTTTATATACTCTAGGTGTAAGTCCCTTATCAGATATATTGTTTCCAAATATTTTCAATGGCTTTCCTTTTTACTTTCTTTCTTATGATTTATTATGTTTTTAAAATGTATATAATTTTAAGTTGTAGAGAGAAGGTCTCACTATGCTGCCCAGGCTGATCTTGAACTCCTGAGCTCAAGCAATCCTCCCACCTTGGCCTCCCAAAATGTTGGGATTACAGGTGTGAGCACCATGCGCAGCCTCCTTTTCACTTTCTTAATGGTCTCCGTTCAAGCACAGAAGTTTCGCATTTTGATGAAGTCCAGTTAATGTATTTTTCTGCAGTCACAAAGATCTATGGCTACGTGTTCTCCTAGGAGTTTTATAATTTTAGTTCTTACATTCAGTGGTTCTATTTTGTTACTTTTGTATATGACATTTGGTGGAAATCCACCTTCATTCTTTTGCACGTTGTCCCAGCACCATTTGTTGAAATATCTATTCGTTTTTCATTTACTTTTTTTATACTCTTGTTGAAAATCAGTTGACCATAAAAATGTAGGTTTGTTTTTGGATTCTCAATTTTAATATGTTGAGCCAGTACCAAATCACATTTATGGAGAATTCATTTTCAGTCCTGTTGCTTATTACGAGTTGTCTTATGTAAGAATAGAAATTCAAGTAGTAGAATGTCTTTAATTTCACTTTTTGCTTCTTGAAGGAGTGTATGGCCAGCTTATGCCTTGCTGACTCCATGACATGATGAGAGTCAGGCTTACAAAGACAGATCCCATTAATTTTTTTTCTCCAGTCACACCTTTTGTCTCTCACCCAGTGCCTCTCTCTTCACTCCCATTTCCATCAAATCTTGGCCACAGGATCTGCTGACTGCATCTACTATTTGTTGCATTATGTTTTATTAGGTCGTTATAAGTCATGGAGTCATGTGTAGATTTGAACTATCTATGAAGCTCAAGATTAAGTCTGGGCTGTCATCTTTCCTCATTGGAAACTGAGCTAATTTATCATGTTGCAGTTCACAGTTAGATCCTCTTTTGACCTAGCACCTGGCTCTCTTACACAACCCGAGGGCTGAATCCTCTTCTTGGCACAGATCCTACATTCTGAGAAACCAGAGTTCCCTGCATTTACCTCCTTTTGCTTAAATGGAGATGCGTAGCTATGCTTTTCTAGCTCAGTACATAATTCATTGAATAAATACTTCAACCTATTCAAAGAACAACTTCCAGGAGTGCAGCAGCTGGAAATCAGGTAATGTCCATGCATTTATCAGAAACAAAAAGTCGAATTAGTTGTATGAATTTCAAAATTTCAGAGCCAATTTATATGATATGGAGAAGCATTTTGGTACAACATAAAGATGAGCTGTTCTTCCCTTCTCCATACAAATGAGGTAAAGGGGAAATTGCTTTGAACAGCTTAACACTCAAAGGACACTACATTTGTTTTACTTTTGAGATTGTTAAAACTGATTCCATAATTTTTTAAATTTCCTCATTGAGGAAATGAAAATGAAGATTGAATCCTAGATTGATGAATAAATATCCAAAGCTGCTTATCACTTTGAGAATTTCAGTTCCTTGAAATCAGGTACAATGTCTGATTTTTGGTTATTAGTCAAATATTTCTAGTTTTTTCAACTTTATATTTCAAATTATATATCTCCTTCCTTCCTCATCTTCCTTATTTCATAACTCGGGGGACAAATTCTAAAAGCCTCACTGGCTTAGTCATCGGAATTTGTAATCAATAGGAACTTTTTCTAAACTTCCTCCTCAGTAGTTCTTATGTCTTTCTCTTATGTCTCATAGAAAGACATAAGAGCTACTGAGGAGGAAGTTTATCATATAAATTACATATATTTATCATATAAATTGGCTTTTCTGATTCATACAGTTAGAAAAGTTCTGCTGCTTCCCATTAGAGTTGTCATTAATAAACTAACCTTAACATTTGTTAGCTCTTACTTTAAAGGAGACTAATTTCTACTGGGTCTGTTACTCTATTGCTTATTGTCTCCTTGTTTAAATTTATTTCTCTGGTTATTTTTTCCACTCAAATTACCCGAATTTGAGTGGCTTAGAACATTTGTTTAGTTCACCAATCTGTGGTTTGCCAAAACCTTGGTCAGGACAGCTTGCCTCTGCTCCCTTCAGCTTCACTTGGGATAAATCAAAGGCTGAGGGACTAGAATCATCTGAAGATTTGTTCACTAAGATGTCTGTTGCTTACGGCGACTATTGGTTGGAAATTTAGTTTGGGGCAGGATACCCAAACATTCTACACTGAAACTCCTAGGCTCTCTTTGTTGCTACGTTTCCTCATAACATGGGGGCTAGGTTTCAAGGCGAGCAGTCTGTGGCAGAGAGCCTCTTCTAACCTAATTATGGAAGCTACATGGTGTTATCCCTTTTAACACATTCTGTTCATTAGAAGCAAGCCATTAAGTTTCACCCATAGTCTATGTATAGGGTGAATGATTTTGCTTTTATTTTTATTTATGTATTTTTTTTAGACATGGTGTCTTGCTATGTTGCCCAGGCTGGCCTTGACCACCATGGCTCAGGAATTCTTCCTGCCTCAGTCTTCCAAGTAGCTGAGATCACAGGCCTGTGACACCACATCTGGCTTCCTTTTATTTTTTGTGGACTCTTATAACTGTACATATTTATGGTATACACAGTGATATTTTGATATGTGTAAACAATGTATAATGGTCAAATCAGACTAATCGATATATCCATCACCTCAAACATTTACCATTTCTTTGTGCTGTGAACTTTGAAAATCCAGTCCTCTAGCTTTTTAAAACTATTAGTTAACCAAGCCAGGTGTGGTGATGCGCACCCGTAATCCTAGCTACTAGGGAGGCTGAGGCAGAAGAATGACTTGAGCCCCAGAGGCAAATGTTGCAGTGAGCTGAGATTGCATTACTGCACTCCAGCTTGAGTGACAGAGTGAGACTCCGTCTCAAAAAAAAAAAAAAACAAAAAAGAGAAAAGTTAACCATATTCATCCTACAATGCAGAACACTAGAATTCATTCCCCCTATCTAGCTATCATTTTGTATCCATTAAACAACCTCTCCCCATCTTCTACTCCCCCTTACCTTTCTCAGCCTCTGTTACCCACAATTCTACTCTCTACTTCCAAAAACTTTTTTTTTTAATTTTAGCTTCCACATGAGTGAGAACACACAGTAGTTATTTTTCTGTGCCTGAATTATTTCACTTAATGTCACAATGTTTTCATCCATGTTGCTGTAAATTGCATGATTTTATTCTTTTTATGGCTAAATAGTATTCCACCGTGTACATATATCACATTTTCTTTACTCATCAACCACAATCATCTATTGATGGAACATTTAGGTTGATTCTGTATTTTGGTTATTGTGAACAGTGCTGCAATAAACATGGGGATCCTGGTATCCCTTTGATGTACTGAATTTCTTTCTTTTGGATAAATAGTAGTGGGATTATTGGATCATATGACACTTCTATTTTTAGTTTTTTAAGAAACTTCCACAGTTTTCCATAATGGCTGTACTCGTTTACATTCCCTCCATGAGTGCATAAGAGTTTTCTTTTTCTCTCCAACCTCATCAGGATTTTTTACTTTTTTCTTTTTTTTAAATAATATAGTAGCCGTTCTAACTGTGGTGAGACGATATCTCATTTGGAATTTTATTTCCATTTTCCTGCTGTCAGTGATGTTGAGTACTTTTCCATATATTTGTTGGCCATTTGTACCTCTTCTTTTTAGAAATGTCTATTTAAATTCTTTGTCCACATTAGGGGGATTATTAACTGTTTTTACTGATAAGTTCCTAGTATATTCTAGATATCAGACCTTTCTCAGATGAATAGATTTGTAAATATTGTCTCCCATCCTACAGATTGTTGGTTGTTCAACAAAGGATTTGCTGTGAAGAAACTTAATTTTAAAATAGCCTCACTTGTCTATTTTTGTTTTTATGCCTGTGCTTTTTTTTGCATATTCCTGTGATAACTTAGCTATAAAATCTCTGCCTTGACCAGTGTCATGAAGCATTTTTCCTATATTTTCTTGTAGTAGTTGTATAATTTTAGATCTCATGTTTAAGTGTTTAATCCATTTTGAGTTAATTTTTGTATATGGTGAAAGATAGGGACCTGGTTTTATTCTTCTTTTTACAAATATCCAGTTTCCCTGGCTCCATTTGTCAAAGAGAGGGTTCTTTCCCCAATGTATGTTCTTGACACCTTTGTTGAAAATCAGGTGTCTGTAAATATGTGGATTTATTTCTGGGTTCTCTATTCTGTTCCACTGATTTAATTTTCTGTTTTTATACCAAGACCATACTGTTTTGGTTACTGTAAGCGTGTAATATATTTTGAAGTCAGGTAGATTTCAAAACAAAGCTGGAGGTAGAGTGATGCTTCCAGCTTTGCTCTTTTCCCTCAGACTTGGCTTGTCTAGTCTAGCGTTTTTGTGGTTCCATATAAATTTTAGGATTGTTTTTTCCATTTCTGTGAAGAATGGTATTGGTGTTTTTCGTTGCAAGTTTAAAGGGCATTTTATTTTCATCTTCTTTATTCTTTCTCTTTCTTTCGTTTTTTTCTTTTGAGACAGAGTCTCGCTCTGTCCTCAGGTCCCAGGCTGGAGCATAGTGACGCAATCTCGGCTCACTGCAATCTCCGCCTCCTGGGTTAAAGCAATTCTGCCTCCCGAGAAGCTGGAAACTATAGGTTTGTGCCACCATGCCCAGTTAATTTTTGTATTTTTTAGTAGAGACGGGGTTTCACCATGTTGGCCAGGATGGTCTCGATCTCTTGACCTCGTGATCCACCCGCCTCAGCCTCCCAAAGTGCTGGGATTACAGGCGTAGCCACCGCCTCTTTCTTAACTTTTATTTTAGATGTAGGGGGTACATGTGCAGGTTTGTTACAAAGGTATATTGCATAATGGTTAGGTTTAGGGTGCAATTGAACCTATCACGGAGGTAGTGAGCATGTACCTGGCATGTCATTTTTCAACTATTGTCCCAACTCAATCCCTCTTCTTGTAGTCCCCAGTGTCTGTTGCTCCCCTCTTTA